TTCAAAAGAAGTCTGTGTCTTGATGCATACTAGGCTTCTCCACTGTCTTGCCCAGCTCATTCCATGGTTGCCAACCTGCCTTATCCTCAACCTGAACATCGTGGCCACACATCTGACCTGCTTTGAGTCCCTGAAGGCTGCTGTGTGGGGCGAGCGCAGCCCAAGACAGACCTTCCCCAAAGACCTCAGCCCCAGGAAGAGCTTTCTGGAGAGAGGCGCAGCACAGAGTCTGTGTCAAGCCATCATAGTAGAAGAAAAAGAAAGAAAAAAAAAAATCTGCACCTCTAACATCCCAAGTGAGTTTCCATGCATAATGAATTACAACATGCAACCTTTCGGCCCAGTTTGGTGTTCAGTGAGCCAAGCTGGGAACTGATTTTTGGCTCCAGCAGCTTAAAGAGTGGCCTTTTATGCTGAAAAAATGCTGTAGGCTATTTGAGTTACTTCCATCTCCAGGGCACACCTTCCATCATTCCTCACCAAGCAAACCAGCAAAGCAAGCACTTGGGAGAGTTTAGCCTACAAGCAAAATGCTTATTCAAAATTATGTTAATGAGCATAGCAAATTTCATTATGGGCTGGAAATTGAGATTTCCAAATGGAAATAAGAATACTATCCTATGCTTACCATAGCAAATACATTTTTTTCTTGAAATATACATCAGACAGTTTCGTTTTCTTTTGCTTTGATGGACTGTTTTGTGAAATATATAAACAGAACACAGAAAAATCTTTCTCTCTCAGGGCTCTGGTAACAATGGGTTCTCTATCAGTAACTTGTTCACACAGTACTGAGCAGCTGCCCATAAGGCAGCACTGGTTTACTTTGAACAAAATGGAGATGTAGTTTGAACACCTGGTAATCTCATCTAGTATGAGAATATTAAAAAAAAAAAAAAAAAAGGCATACTGGAATTTAAGTTTCCCCTACAATGCCTCTAACTGGATGGATATATCCCTAAGACAAACTGTTTCTTCCAGTCTCACCATTTCCTTTTGTTCTCTCATTTACCTTATTTATCACCACCAGAGGTCTGTTTTGGTAAAGAGGTTAAGTTGTTTACTCACCTAGAAGGGGAGAAAAAAATTCGCACATTTGTTGGCTGCAGAAATTTGGGCACCAAATCCAAAATGCAAATTGTTGGACTTTGCTGGGGAAAGAAGTGACAACAGCTGTGCCACCCCACAAGAGTCAGTACTCAAGCATCATTATAAAGAGGAAAAAGCTACTGAGGATGACCATTCTGTGAAAAGGATAGTTTAAATCTCTTCCACTCTAGTTGAGAAAAAAGGAGGATAACCAGAGAAGTATTCAATAGCACAGAGTGGGAAAAGTGTTTTTTGGCTCTGGTAACCACACAGCCATGAAAGGCCACTATAATGGAAAATGCTCTGGATTTCTCTTTGGAACAGCTGCAAGGCAGTTATTTAAATGTACTCATTTACTTCTAGTATTTGGCTGGTAGGAGCCACTGCTGGCAAAAGCAAAGAGAGAATGATGAATTTTTGTTGTTTTCTTGTGTTAAGCATTTCTGAGGCACTGTTGGAAGTCCCTGGTTCATTAAGCAACTGGAGCTCAAATTATTTCTTCTTCAAAGATTTTACTGCAGAATTCATCTCATGCCATTCACAAAGACAGAAGATACTAATCACTCCACAGAGTACACTAATCAGTTTAGATCACCACTTGTTATGTTTCCTTTTTGCGAACAGCAAAGCCCTCTGGGATGCTAAATGCTTCTTACAGAATTACTTAACTTTACGCTTACTGCATTATCAGACTAATCAGGTTTTCATGATACAATTTTGCTTATACATAGCTGAGGTATGAAGTCGTCATATGTGCCACAAAATAATCCCATCTTAAAAATAAAAAACTTCTGTTACATTTTGTTTCTAAGAGCTGAATGCCTTATCTAATCTGAAATCACTAGATTGCGCCTTATAATACAACCCTGTTGCCAAAAACTCCAAGCATATTCTGGAATTTTTTTGTTTCATTGACTTCTTTGTCATATTGTGAACAGTGCCCCAGAACTATTTGCTATTACAGATTTCAGCTCTGGATAGGCTAAACTACCTTGAAACTTCACTTATCTTTCATATTTAAACATGATCAAGATGCCTTAAATCTGTTCTCTTAATCACCACTTCTTATGTCTAGTAACAGTGTGCTGGGGGGGGGAAGAAGATGGGAGCAGAGAGCTTCAGACAGGTTAGTGCATAGAAAGGGTATGAAGAGACACGAGTGTAGAAAACATGTTGCTTCAGCAGGAGGTTGTAGAGAGCACCAAAAGCAGTTCCCATGTTGACACACTAGCAATAGGAATATTTTTAAAAAGCAACAATTTCACACTTGGTATCAAGAAGTGACTTTCAAAAACTCTTTCAAAATGTGAATCATTTGTTTCCTGTCTCAGAAGACAAATCTTGAGAAAGATACCATTTGTAATTAAATTAGCAGGAACTTCCCTCACTGTGGTGCCACCACAAGCATCTGTAAGATTCAAGCCCAAGCTAAAGCCTGTCAGGGTACGCTTCAGATCGCAAAAGATCCTGATGAGGTCTCTGGATTCTACCTCATAGTAAATAAGAATCTATTCTTGTTTGCCCTGTGCAGTTAAAGGATTCATCATAGGAAGAAGGAGTATTTATTACTGAGATGCATACACACAGGTACACATACATACATGGGTATACAAAATAGATAATATTTACTTCTAAGGCTGAGTTGACCAAATGTGAAGGAAACCAACTATCCTGGCAAAGCTAAAGGAAAGTTTAAAGATTAAAAAAAAAGAAGATTAAAGATAAAGAAAGCTTAAAGTGGCAAAACACTTCTTTTTGTAATTGAGATGCCATGTAGCTCACGCAGAAGGCATGCAAGGCTACTTCCAAGTTTAAAAAAAAAAAATCCTTCCTTAAAACTTGAGTCTCTAAATGTGTTCTGCAGCACACTGTGGCATCTGCTCAGTTTTAAAAGTCAAAATGATGTCCTCCAGGAAGAAAAATTTGAATGAAATAGTTTTCTAAACTATATCCAAAATTCATTTGTATGTCAACACAAACATAAAAGGCAAACCCATGCAGTCCCAGTCTGAAAAAGTGCTTTACTTCAATACTTCCATCTAATGATTTGTCTCTTTAGCTACGTGTCTCACTATGTCCTTGCCTGTTATAAAAAGATCTTCCTTACCCTCAGAAACATACATGTGGCTCCCAGCTGATTGTTTGGAGCTGTTACTCCTTTACATGGGATTGAAGACTTGTATCAACCATGAGATCCACAATGGTTTACTGAAATGCGTGGGAATTCATTCATGCATATAAGTCTGCCCATATGGATATCAAATTTGAGTCCATTTTGACAACATGAATGATATTTTTCTACCATAATCACCCACACATATACCAGTCTTTCCTCTGCTCCCTGTTGCCATTTCTTTTCAGCTCCCAAGTCAAGTATCATTGAAGCACAGACCCTAAAACCCAAGAGTGAAGATATCTGGATTACCTACCAGTCAATGACCAGAATCATCCATTTTTCTCTAGTCTTTTGTCTAGTGATGCAAGTCCAGGGCAGGATTTATTCAGAAAAAACTCCTTGCAGACACAAGACGTGCATTTATTCAACCTTAAGTACAACAGAATGGTGACTATGATGACCATCAAGTCCTTTACAAGTGATAGCTTTTCTTCCACTCATTCTTGCACCACAGTTGGACTTATTTTCCCTTCAAGAAGGCATTTATCCTAAACACCAATCCTAAGATAACCAAATTTGTCATACATAAAGAAGCCTTTGAAGTGAGAACCCATGGAGACAGGGGTACAAGTGCCTTTCAGAGCATGCGAGGAGATGGTCTAGAGGAGCCTTTCTCCAGAAAGGGAAGAGAGTCCGGCAGTAGCCAAGCAGATTGGGATTCAAACATACAGCATCTACCTCCTACCAGGTGTTATGTTCTGCTGTAAAGACACAAAAACCTTCTCTGACCCTAACAGGGCCAGAGACTTGAAAAGCAACAGAACTACTTTTAAGCTATACTAGTTCTCCATTTGAAAAACAGGAGGAAGAGGAGCACAAAGAAGTTTCTTCAAAGCAGATTTTGGATTCAGCTAATTTCACATCAACACCCATTAGGGGACATATTTTTTATAACTTCACAGGGTCCAGGGATCTCTGAACTACTGCCCTTCTCAGTGTATACTGCTAAGAGATGTAATCTCCTGACCCAGAGAAACTCCAGTAAACAAACAAATGAAAAAAAGCAAATGAAACAAACAGATCTCCAATTTATGTCCTCTGCCTAATCAACTGTGGTGCCCTCTTCAGTAAAATATATGTCCTTAAAAGTTTTAAGTTGTAATAGACACTTGGGTCTCTATGAAGTCAAAGTGACATTGAAAATGCTTTTCTGAGATGAAATCTTGTCTTATTAACACCTCCTACTGTGTTTTCTTGTGAACATCCTGAACAGAAGTACTTGATGTTTAGTACACAGAGCTGAACAAATCATTTAGGTATTTATAAACAGCAAGTCTGAAATGCACTTTGATTCATGAAAGCAAGATTAGTGTGTTAGTAATTTTAAGTGTATTATTAATTTTATTGCTGCTTTTGGTTTAAAACCTTAGGTTTTCCGATAAGACACTGAACCCGAAATTTCAGTGGTATTATTCCAATTGAATCATGTTCTTCTACTTTGTATTCATTAGGCACAGTAAAAATTGAACCATAGTGCAGGGACCATCTACACAGAGTCAATAAAGATCATATTTTGCCATATATTCTCTTCTACAAATAGTACTATAACACAGCAATGTAATGTCTCAAAGTATAACAACATTCTTAGCAAGTGATGAGTGTCTTTAATACAATATTTCAGTACAAATTCCCTCCATGATTCCAAAGTGAGACAGGAGAAAAAGCTAGGATTCAGTGAGGAAATAACAAAGAGGTTCAGTCAGTTCAGCTGCCAGTTTGATCGTGGTCTACTCACCTCAATCACCTCAGGTTGGGACATCATGGAGGACGGCACCAAGTCGGTGGGGATATCCATGGTAGCTCAAAATATCCCTGCTGTCCTTGAGCCCTTCCTCTGCACCCACAAACCCGTGGTATGAACACAGAAGCACTTCCCTCAGACCCTAGTCATGCTGGCATTTGCTCCTAGTAGGAAGGGAAAAAAAAAAAAGTTGAGAATAACAACAGAACTGGATATACAGTCAACTCCCAAGCCCCTCGGCTGCTACAAAACCAGCCTGTGAGTTTGCACAACCCAACGTGCTTACATGACCATTCACAACAGATTTGCAGGAAAAGTTTCAAAGGGCACACTGGAATTTGGTCCAGAACAGCAAAACAATTCACTTGACCACACAAACTAGAATTCACAGAAACTGAATACAGCAAGAAGGCTAATGCACAGACCATGTACACATTTGCAAGGAAAGATGGTCACCTATAGATCACTGGAACTGTGTTAACATTTTAATGTTTTTTTTATTTGTTTGTTTTGTTTATGGTTTTTTTTTTTTGGGGGGGGAGGTGTGTGCTGTTTTTTTTTTTTTTTTCCCACACCAAAAAAAAACAAAAAACAAAAAACAAAAAACAAACAAAAAAAAAAAACAAAAAACAAAACCCCACAAAACAACAAACCCTCACAGAAGAGTACTCATAGAATTACTTGCTAGAATTTAGGATGCATTTATTTCCTCAATAAATATAGTTTCACAGTTCGGTGATCATATGAACTTTTCTTCTGTGTTAAGAAAAGTAACTTAAACATTATGACATCCTTATTTTGATTTATTTTAACCATACCATTTTTTGGTTTTGCCAGATAGGCACAGATTTGATGCAGGTTAATATACTGAATTGCCACGTAAAGTTTGATCTGATGATCCAACAGAATGAAGTTATGTCTATAACTATCATGTTTATCAAGGTTAGATTAGCTTCCGCATGTGTTTTTATTATTTTGTGCAAAGGAAGCCAAACAAAGGGGGAAAAAAACCCCTGTAATTGGCCAATAAATTAATCCCATTTAAAAATTTCAGACTAAGGTTACTGCAGTTTTTTTCCCCCCAATCAGGCCAGACATATACAACACAACCCATAAATTAGCCACCACAGAAAGGATTTTTGGAGAACCAGCTATTGCTCTCTGCATCTATTGCTTCTATTCTGTAAGTCACGGTGGAAAACCACTCAAGCAAAGTGTATTCAGCATCCAACAAATATGCCAAAAATTACACCAAACCTAAGTGATATTTTTCAAATTGAGACCATGGGGTAATCATACAGACAATGCTAGTAACACTCCTGACCACTGGTTCATTTTTTCAAAGGCAACACTTATTTACGAAGCCAAGAAAGAACAGGTAAGTGCTGTAGAAAAGTTGGAAGTTTCAGTCCACATGCTTTTCTGAGTCAGTTATGTCTTTTTTTTTTTTTTTTTTTTTGTCTTGTTCATTTAAACTCAGCCTTTGCACGCCACTGTGGAAATTATGCCTCCTTCTTAAAAAGCAGCATCTTGAAATGCCTGCTTCACATTTCAACACATCCCCACATGCCTTACGTCACATGTAGCTGTCTCATCTTCCAAGCTCTGGGATCACTTTTTCCATCTTTATATAGCTTTCCAATGACCCCTATTCTTTCCTACTCATTTCTTGCTAGTAACCTTTCATTCTTTCCACTCCTTGCTCCAAATTTCTACTTCTATTCTCATGGAGAGGACAGAAAATGGAGATTTAGCATTCCTCCAAGAAAGCCTTCACTGGAAGTCAAAGAACCAAGCTACACATCCTTCAGGCTTCCTGTTTTCTTCTCAAAAACAGAGTTTTGCCTGCTTTCTGAAATCCACATATTTTTCCACTGTGCATGACAAATGAAGGAAACTGTGTCAATTTGAAACTACTGCTGTTCTAAGGGAAGCCTTGCTATTTGACCAAGAGAATGATTTTCAGTAAAACTCCATCAACAGTCTCAAAACCCTCAACCAGCACATTTCATCACTCTCTCATGACCTATCACAAATGTAACTTAAATAAGACCTTTGTTTCTGTTTTTCTCAAAACACACTTAAGTGTGGAAATGTCACTGCACCTACTTTACATCAGCTCATTGTTTAGTTTCTTTTAAAATTTAGTCTCTTGATCCTGAAATGCTGCTGCTCTTGAATAATGAAGATGGGGAAAAAATTACCGATGAAGTAGAATTTAGGGAAGACTATCTAGACCAAAACCAGATGTATGCATAAAACCCTGTTTATCACATATAAAAAGGAGAGAAAAATGGTAATTTTTAATAGGGAGCATCACAGAGCAGAAGAGGAAAACTAAGAAAAAAGAAATCTAAAGTCTGTTCAGCCTTTAGCTAGATCTATGTATTCTAGGTAGAATACAAATGTCAAAAAAATCTTAACCCCATAAAATCCAATAGGCATTTTAATGAAGATGAGAGGAGAAATATGCCTGTAGTAATATTTCATCATCTCTCCAAGAAATAGAAAACACAGAATTGGTAAAAAGTTCCTAAGTCTATGGCCATTTCATATTTCCCCTTCTGCAACTAGCTGCATTTGCATTGCTTGTGTTTCATTGCACTGATCCATCAGTTTGGCTAGGGAAAGGAAGGCTCTTCTGCAAACACCTTTTCAACCTCCTGAGTGTGACATACACAATGATTAAGAATTTCTGCCAACTGGTTAGGCTCTGAAAAGCATTCCAGCTGAAAATAGGTTGGACTGTACAAAAGGACTCTCACCCCACTCCCAACCTCTCTCATCTTCTCCAGCAATAATAAAGTATAGAGGGGACTGTGCTTTTACAGCAGTGGAAAAACAGGCTGAGTCCATTCAAGCAAACAAAGGTGGCTCCTAACTTAATACCCGTGTGAGTTCAGGGTGCAGCTCCATGTTTTTCAAGAACTGCAAATAAGGGGAACAGGATCCTCAAATGAACTTCGCTAAAGGGCATTATGACAGAAAATGTAATCTCTATTAAAAAGGAAGTCTGAAACACAAAAGCACAGGAGTGGCTTCTTACTAATGAGATTTTGATGGCTTGCTCCACCACAAATCATTGAAAGAAATACCGAAATTTGGAAGCAGATTCTCACATATGAAAAGGAGAGGAACTGGAACTGCAGGTGTCACAGGCAAATACCACTCTATGTACTCTTCTCTTGATAGACACAAGATAGAGCACTGCAAACTGGGGAAACACCTTGGATCTGTATCTAAACTTTGTAAAATGAAGATTACAGAATTTCTTAACCTCTGTGAAGGTGACTCATCTCTAAGAAACTATGTTTCATCATAAACTACAACATTTAGGAAGTCACTTATGATAACACATTGAGTTTCTGGTTAACTGAGAAAAAAAATTAAATCAGCTGACACTCAGCAGAGAAGTGCATACCTAACATGCATCCTCACCAAACAAAACATACTGCTCTCTCACATGCAGTGATTAAGCATCAGGATTTCTGGATCAGCTGTCTGAGACCACAGAAAAGAATAACATGCAATTTTGTCAGTAGTTAGGGGAAATGCAATCATGTATCACAAAAACATCGCCTTGAAGGAACTGCTTCCGAAAATTCCATTACAATGACAAAAATTATTACTCTTCTTCCTCCCCAGTTTCTTGCACAGTATACCGAAACCTGTAATTTAGGAGTGACACAGCAATACCAACAACTTCTGCATCACTGTGTTTCTCATCCGGGCCCACAAATATACAGTGCCTCCACTGTGGTAAGGTGCTGAGACTGAAAGGCAAACTGGATTTTCACAATCCGTGGCTGTCCCTTGTGTCAGACAATTTCAGATGTCCTGCATTGTTGCTATGTCTCAGCTTTGGATTCCTGCACCCCTTTCAGAGTATCTTTTGGTACCACGGCTTGTCTCCACAGACTTAAATTTTCAGGATTACATGACTCTGAAGGTGCAGATTTCATATGACCTTGAAGCTGTTAAATGTGACTTAGTTAAACAAAGCTACCCTCCCTGAACACCTCTAGTGAATAAAAGCCTAACTTACAGTTTCTCAGAGGACAGTTTTAAATCCTAATTGATCCCAGATGGATAGGACCTGTAAACCCGTCAAGGAAAATAAAACATTCAAACAACATGCAGAAAGGCAAGAAAGTAGGAAAAAAATCTCACATAAGGGTCCCACTTCCAGATGTCACTTCAGACACATTCCAGATTTCATGTGCCATCTGAAGTCTTGCCATCCAAAAGTAATTATTTGCACCACTCACCTCCAGCAGTCTCCTTCACTAAACAATCACTGCTTGTAAGCATTAGTTTGTTCAATACACAATTAAAAGCACAACCCTGCCGTGGCAGCTGTATAAGGCAAAAATGCAAACAAACATCACCCAGGCAAGAGCAAAAGCAATGACTTGACCTGTCTACTTCTTCACTTTACTACTCGTTACAGTGATGGTGATAACATGAACTTTTAATTACCTATTCATGGAGGTGTTGTTCTGCTCTCCAGGAACCACTTGGTCAGTAAAACAACAACTACAGATACACTTTCTAGCACATAAGAAAGATGAAAGGCAGAAGAATTGGTTTCAATTTCATGCTGTTGAGGAAAGAAGAGGCCTTCCAGTTACTCGTTCCTTTACTGCAGTGACTGCTAGGAACTATTGCAAAAATTTTCATTTTCTTTTGCAAGTTACAGAGCACTAGATATTCTTCCTAGCAAAGATATTACTTTGAGTCCCTATATTATTTTAGGTAAAGCCTTCACCACCTCTGATGTTGTCACTTTGAACAGTGGATGTATAGATTCACTTACACAAATACAATTCACTAGCTTAAAACTCTTCTGAAAAAGTTATTTAATAGTGACTCTTTAAACAATGAAACTTATCTTGACATACATTTTAAAGCAATTAATAAAAAAAATCCTATAAACCCCAAAGACGTGTCAACATGATTTCATAGGTGAGCAGAGGTACCTGCAATTGTGAAACAATAGTCTCAGCAGACTGGCAAAGGGCAAACAATACCACAGAAATGCTGATAACAAGCTCTTGGTCTTCCTGAAATTGCACGGTGATCCAAACTCTGATGTCAGTATTGACTTCTCTCACACAGTCTCAGCAAGCCTTTACATAAGCACAGCACTCCATATTTATTATTATTATTATTGTTATTATTTTAAATTTATCAGTTCACTACTGGTTAAAATGAGGGGAAAAGCCACATACCAGCTTTCTGTCCTGTCACCTCAGGACTTTTCTCCTCTTCCATTGCATGGCACATCTAGGGTGGTGTTTCAGCAAACATCTTGTTTTGCATCAGGGACCAGACTGCTGGATCTTGAAGTGAGTTTGGTATGTGCTGTACTTTGACAAATCAGAATGAGCTGCATAAAGCATGTGAAACTTTACTGGATGACCTGCCAAATCATAAGGACAAGCTGAACTGATTTAAGTGGTTATGATCTCTACAGTCTGTATTTCCTCCCAATTCTGCCCGCTCTCTCTGTTCCAGGGTATGTTCTGCCTGTAAATGAAGATAACTTCCTGAGCCCTGTGTTAACTTGCTCAGCAATCAAGAGTTGCAGTAAGTTAACAGCTGTGATTCAGTATTGGGCAAAAGAAGCATAAAAGAAATAAAATAGGAGATTTGTAGAGAGATGGTGTGGCCCATTTTTGTGCACTTGCCTTAAGTCCTTCTGAACAACAGCAACAAGTCTTTTTTACACTTAACAAGACTTTCTTTCCCATTTCCCCATCAAATTTCTGATGTCTCAGAAAAGAGACAGCCCTTTCTCTTGCCTCAGCAGATGAATCAATAGAGTTTGGAAGCTAGCACTAAATTAACTGTCCCTGTGAAATTGTTGACAGGGTGTGTATTTGAATACACACATTTTACTGTACAAATTCTGCAGCATGGTTGGTATCATCCTGGGTCTTTCACCTGACACCTCTCTCAGGAAAGCAGGATAAAGGCTGTTGTCACATCCATCATGTATTACTATAGCAATAAGTATCAGAATAGATCTAGTATATGGTACTAATTAAACAGATTTAATAGCCGTGAATCAGAAATTACATTATTGGAGTTGGAAATTATTTTGTCAGTAATTGCATGAAGACACTTATCTATTTCTGATGTCAGAGGGACTGATGTGAGCACGGATTGGGTTGTATCACTGTTCTATACATCCTTGTAGAAGGAAGTGGATGTAACTATTCAGCATGCCTTCAGACTAATGACCAACAAATTGCACAAATTACACCTGTTATTACAGCACATGCAACACTACCCTCTGTTGTCCCAGTGAAGACCAGTTGTACAAACATGACTCCTCCCATCGCCTTCACATTTCTTGCTTCTAGTTACAGGACAGACCGCTTTAAGGAGCTATGAAGCTATAGCAACTCAAGCATTTTGAAGCTCTTTGTAAAAACGAACATGAAATAGATCTGTGAAGTTTTGCTGAAGTGTTGTGGAAGTCTGGAAAGGGAGAGCCAGAGGAAAGGGACAACGTCGCTTTGTTTCCTGTGCTGGCTGTACCATCGCACCCCCTGAAAACAGCCTCTGCCAGTAAAGCCAAACATTTCTTCAGTTTAACTTCACTGCTTAGAAATATAGATTTTACTGGAATTTGCTAACATATGGAAAGACTCAGACACAGGAATAGGAAATCTTTACCTTGGAAATATTGAAGGAAAAAAAAACAAAATCCAAAACAAACAAACAAAAACCCCCCAAAAACCCAACCCCAAAACCCAGAGTAACATACTTGATGGCCTCTGCCCTTTCTCACCAGCAAGAGTATCACAAACATTACAACCAGCCCTAAGAAACTGGACAGATTTTTCAGTCTGAGAAGATCAATGACAGACGATGCAACGAAACCAAGCTACTCATTCACTTCTGAGGAAGAAATTGAGATCCTCACAAGAAACAAAATGAATTTTCCATGCTGCTGTTAAACTAGTATATCACATAGGGGCAAAAAATAATTTCTCACGTGCACCAAGACAGGCAATAACTACACAGAGTAAAAGATGTTTGTGAAAATACCTCATCCCCAAAACAGAGCATACATATTTGTCCAAACAGCAACTGAAAGTCAATCCATATCCAGGAACACTTTTCCATCAAATCCCTGTCCTTGTGGAGAAATAACTTAGTCATTTCTTTGCAGTAATCAGTGGTTAATTCACTTTGACATTAAGTGTCAGTTCTCTGTAGATACTGTTTAAGAGATCAGATCTTCTCTTTCATGGACTGAGTGGGTTAATCCAACAGCATCAATTTCTATCCAAATAATTTCTGTTTACAGAGCTTCTGTTATTGGTGAAGTAATACACTGCTTGAGCACAAACATTTCCAGAGCAATTATTTAAAAAAAAGAAGAGAATTTTCCAACATGATACAACAGATGAACAACAAAAACTGGCTAAATAAAATATCATTAATACTTAAAAGGGAGGGAGACATGCAACAAGAATAATGATGCAGTATTTTAAAATGTTTTACTGTTAACAACAAAAGACTTGTTAATAATAAATAAACTGGCAACTACAATGGACAATTGAGCTGGATGGTCCAAAAAACAGAACTGATCTGAACTAATCCCTCTCTCCTGCCATCACTGTTTGGCTATATGGTAACATGATGAGATTTTGTAATATTCCATCCAACAAGCTGAGGGCCGCATCTCAATACACAGAGCTGCAGGAGCACTATCAGAGCTGCATTTACAGGACATGCCAAGCGAAGGGGAAGGCTTACAAACATCTGCAAAAGGGTTGGCAGCGAGGTGGGCTGTGACAGCCTCCTGCCTAAGCGCTGAGAGAGAGCAGGAGAGCAGCCTCCAGCAAGACCTCTGGACAGCAAGTGCCAATGCTACCTGTCATCTGACCTCCAACACACCGTCTGACCCACCTCAAAGCCTCTGGGGAGAGCAGGGTAAAAGAACATGAATACCCCAACAGATTAGATTACAGGACTGGAGATCTCTTCTGGCTGTTGAAAAACATCCTCCTTTTACCCCACGTGCATCATCTGCTTTCTGGCTTTTCTCAGGTTTTTGTTTGTTGGTTTTGTTGGGTTTGGTATTTTTTTTGTTGTTGTTGTTTTTTGTGGATTTTTGATGGTGTTGTGGTTTTTTGTGGGTGGGTGGGTGTGCGTGTTGATTTTTTTTTTTTTTTTTTTTTTTTTTTTAAACAATCTGAGCAGTTGTGACTTTGACAGTGAAAAAAACAGAAGGACAAAATCTTTCCCAAATTCAGATCTGACACAGCCACTAAACATGTCAAAGCAGGTACTGTCTATACTGCTGCTGCTCCAACTTCAGAGCAGCAATGTCCTAAACAATTGTCTTGGAAGTGATTCAGTGTCACAAAGATACACCACAGAATCAGGGATTTTATTACTGCTATGGTCCCGTGTAAGTAATACATCTGCTTCTATGTTTTTATGATTCCTGCTTTGGTTGCACTTTGTCAGAAAAAGCACACATTCCACATAATACACAGCACAACCACCTCTTAGCCTCTAAAAGCATCAGAAGCAGGACAGCAGCAAGTTTAGCTGTGTATCACTTTGCAGACTGCTTTATGGAGAACAGCAACAGCTAGCCAGAGCCTTCAGCTGCTACTGAAGCCAAACCAAACCAAAATAATAACAAACACCACCTTGGGAAATTTAACCTCAACTTGTCCAGCCACCTGAAAAGCATCTTACAAAAAAAAAAATACCAGGAATAAGAGAGATAACTTAAAGAGAGCAAATAAAAATGTGGAAGCCCAAAAGCCTATTACTAAAGAAAAAAAAAAAAAAAGTAACAAATCCTTCCTACTTTCCCTTCTACTTTCAGCCAACTCACACCTGTACACTTCAAAGAGTTTCTAAAAGGTGCTCCAGGGAAGTTTGCAACTTCCTGAAGCTAGAAAAGACTTACAGTTTCCACTGCCTCAGTCTTCACTTGCAGGAGCACAATACAGCTGGTTAGCCCTCCTTATGTAAGGAAAAAAGATGAGGTTTTCAGCAGTATATCCAAAGCTAGAAAGAAAATGATTTCAACACAAATTTTAAAAATGTCCTTGCGTTCAGTAGGACTCTTACACAAGACAATAATCAACAATAATCAACAGAGGTTCTCAAATCTACATTGTTTGCATTCACAGCGCAGCCTGTGCTTCAAAAAAAAAAAAAAAATTACATCAGTAAAACCTTTCTGAATAGGACCTCTGTGGCTAATCAGGGAAAGATCATTGTTCTGGCATCAATAATTAATAATGCGAGTACTACATGACTGCAGCTAAATCTGCCCATGACAGAATAAAGCCCCCAAGTTCAGCAAAGATGTGTCAGGTGGAGCCTCCTTACCCAAGCTAAATGGTTTCATGAACTCTGCAGAGGCAGTGTTGTGTAGAACTGTCCCTTCTGCTCCACTGCAAGATTAAGCAGACAATCTGACACCTTATTCATTTACCACACACTGAACTAATTTACAACAATAACATAGTAATGTGCAGTGGCACTCCCTCCAAGAAATCATCTGCTTTCAAAGAGAACACATAGGTCAGGAGAGTCATATTCCCAGTTATCCCACTGGGGTAAGATCAAAGTCTGTGCCCATCCACCCAAAAAGCAGAAAAAAAAAAATCTCTACTCAAAGATTTTCAATGCAAAAAATTTCAGTGTAGTAGGATAGCCTGAAGCATTTGTCTTGCAGGGAAATCTTTTCCATGTGCCACTCTATTCTGCCTGTCACCATGCCTCATACCCCTTTTGAGGATGACAAAAGAAGGCTGACCGCAGTTATGCACTGGGTTCCACCAAAGGGCAGACAGTTCAAGCATCTGTAATTAACCTATGCATGTCTGCCTTTCTCCCTTACCTGCTCTGATGTTTTATCCCCATAAGGGACCTTCAGATGTTTTACTGTGGCCACCATCAAGGCTCTTTGGAGAGTAGATTAGTCCCCAAATTACAAGCTGTTAATTCTTTTTGGAATTGTTTTTACCTTGGGGCTGCATTTTTTGTTGTTTTGGTTGTGGTTTTTTTTTTTTTTGTTTGTTTGTTTTGTTTTGTTTGGGTTTGTTTTGTTTTTTGTTTTTTGTTTTTTTTTTTTTTTTTAATTTATTCTGGCAAACCAACAGTCTGATCCTGTCCCCATGAAGTTCAAATGCATTCTGTTGATGACCTCAGTGGCAGCTGAGGAAGGCAGGACTCACACTTCCCCAATCATCTGCTACAGGTCCAACCCCACTGGAGTAAGAGAGCCCCTTCACCATTCTTTGTGCAACATGCACCCACATGATTCCTTTTTGTTGGTTACTCATGGCAAAAGGTATTTGAGGAAGCAGAGTAGATTCTCAGTTGGCCTATCATGACACTTCTTTTCAGATTAATGGCAATGACCAAGAACATCTTGAACAGAAAATAACAAACATCTTCCGTCCTCTGTGTCAGTAGTAGCAAGATACTCACTTAAGAGGTCTTTTCTAAGGCACATAAGTATCCCATCATGAAGGCAAAAAACTAAACATTGCTGTATCTTATTAAAAATAAAAAGATTTTTCTCAGCCTTCCTAGTCTTCCGCGTCCAAAACAATTAATTCCTTTACCTCAGAATATTCTAGGGGATTTGTATCTTTACTATTCTGACTTCTGCTATCAGAAGAAAATGCCACGTTATACTAATAAACAGAAAACACATTTTGAAAGGACAAACCCATTGCATGTAGCATTGTAACGTATGAAATCATGAACACACTCACCCTAAGACATATCTGTTATGGTACAAACTGGACTAACAGCATCAGGCTAATCTACAAGGCATGCAGCAGCATACCAGGTTTCTCTACATACTGCTCAGATGAGATTAAAAAAAAAAAAAATAATCAAGAGGCACTAATTTTCTATTCAAATATCAACATTTTTGCTAAAAGTGCCACCACCATGCTATCCACAACTGAATCGTGCTCCTTTTTCCCACCAAACACAGGATACTTCCTCTCTCTCTGCTACACACTGAAGGGCTTGGAATCTTATTTACCATCAGACAAAATTTCCATTTAGTTTGTGCAGTTGTCCTTTTTAAGAATTCTTTCTGTACTTCCCTGACCTAGGTCAGTTTGCACCATCCAGTGCAATTCTCTCACTTGCTCAATGTCCTTTCCTGATTATTTCCATATTGTGTCTATTCCACACCCATCTCTTGGACAGCATTTTCTTGCTGGTTTTTAAGTCCAAAATGATACTTCATTTTCTCTTGATGACTCCTACTTCTCTGAAAAGCGTCTTCTGAGATTTTTCTGAAAAGTCAAAAAATTCTGCATTACTTCCTCAGTTTTCTCATTTTCCTGCAGTTCCTGCTTTAAGGGCAACACATCAAGTTGCCTTCTCATTAGCATCCAGAGCCTCTAGACTTATTTCAGATATTATCTATCAGGAACATAGCTTCTACTAATGACCTTAATTAATGTTTGCTTGTTAAGGATTCCTTAGAGATGATCATTGCTTTGCCACTGGCAAGGCTGGAGAAGAGTGGCTGAGAGTGAGAAGAGATTCTCACCTGAGGGAACGAGTAAGCTGTCTGCCTTAATGCAAGAATTGCTGGCTGGTACATGCATGTTTCTTCAGATGCATTAGGAGCTTCTTTAACAAAATGATCAGGTCAGCATAAAACAACCAAACAAAACACACACATGCAAAATGTTTTAAAAGATCTGTACTAAGCACAGCACCAGCTTCAAGAAACAACTGCAGCAGCAGCTCCACTGGCTTTTTTTGAATTAGTGAGTGCTGGAACAGTAAGATATCCCTGAAAGTGAATTTCTAACTCCTCTGTTTCAAGTAAAAGCAATGTGAAAGAGGAAGATCCCAGAGTAATAAATCATTACATCATCTAATTTCAACATTAGCTCACTACTCTAATCTTCAAGAAAGAATCACCAGAAAATAAAGAGGAAAAATACAGCTAGACACTGACTGCTGGAAATAATGCCAATCTGCTCAGGCTTATGTAAACAAGTAACTACAATGTTGATGGTCTCTCATAGCACAACCACAAGGAAGCTGCTGTCATAGGACAATGTTTTCATAATCTGCACTTTCATCGTAATGACTTCTAAAGTACCGAATACTTCTGAAGTAAGTAATTTCAAAACAGTTTCTGAAACTCTTTTAAAATGTTTTATTTCTGCTGACAGATATTAAATTTGAAGAAGTTAACTAACAGGGAAAACAGTTCAGTGTCACCATGGATAGCTCATAATTTAAGATGCATCATTAACTGTGGCCAGCATTGTGTGTGCATTTGTGTGTGTAAAAGAAGCAAGTATGGTGCATGCTTTTGTCTTCCACCATTATAAACAAAAACAAAACAAAAAAGCAAGAAGCTGCTCATTAAAATTATTCTGAAGGCTGGGATTGCAAGAAGCAGTTTTCACAACACAAAGCCAAGATGGAGGCATTGCCTCACACTGGTAGTTGACACAATTTAACCCCTAGTGCATTTCCATCACTATTTTGCTTACTAATCAGTATCATTAAAGACAATAATAGGCAGTCACTTGTATCAAGGTATAAATCACCATATAAGATATCAGGATGCTTTTTCCAGCTATTGTTCCTCAGCAGAAGAACAGCAAGATCTTCTCAACAATTTACAAACAGACTTCAATGCTTATTTCCAAGCAGAAAAATCAAAATGATACAATTTAACCCCTCCATACATCAGCAACAGAGACTCCATTTGCTAGCCCTACCTTACATGTTCCACTTTTTGTATAAAACTCAGAAAAGTAGTAGTATGCTGGCATACTTCCGAAACAAGTTTGTCTTTAAACATTCAGACAATATCCTTTTCACTAGATAAAAAACATCTGGATGATAACAGAATGTCACAATTCTCTAAACAGCTTTGAGGGGGGCCAGCATTAAAGCAAATACTTCTTTTTCCCCCTGCATTCACAAAACAGATGCTCAATCTTCAGACAGAATGAACCACCACAAAATACAACAATCTGAAAATGCTGAAGCCAAGGAAGTCTACAATTACACATGCCAAAACCCAAACCCCAAATTACAAATGTACCATCCTAATATAGATCTACATGGACCCTGACCGATGGTGCGCAAACAGGAGTTCAATTAAGTTTATCTGAAATAGAAATTTGCCAACCACCCCCCACAAAAAAGTACATAAAAGACTGCAAGGCATAAGCTTAAAAAGGTTCAGGTCATCACCAATGCAGACGCAGTAACTGTTTATCAACCCCTCAAACTAGAAATAACAGTCATGCTGCTTCAGAAATATTTTTGTAACATGTGCATCAGTTCAACCGTTTTCCAGACAATTTCTTCAGTGCTGTATTTTGCATAGTTAAGCTAAAAGAAGTTTGAAAGAATTTAAAATTGACAATAAGAAAGAATTATCTTAATGACAGGGTTTAAAATTCCCTATTGTCACATCACTACTTTTTCCCAAGGCCACAAACTTACTTATCTGATGGACAGCAGTGACCCAGAAATGAGATCTTACCTTTGATCTTGCCACGATGGAGGGGGAACAAACCCAGCAGCACAAGACAACAAAAATCCTAATGTTGACAAATGAAAAGTAGTTACTTCTTGCCCACCATTTAAGTCTCTTGCTTGCTCGGGATGATACACCCAGAATTTGTGAGTCTGTGCTGTAAAAATCAAGGCTGGTTACTAGTTTCTTGGTAGGGTTCGACAGGGCTTCCTTATCCCTGCAGTCTGAACCATACTGCCCAGCATCTACACCATCTCGACTCAACCAGTTGGGGTTTTTGAAGAATAACTGTTAAGGATGATCAAGAAGTAACACACTCCCCAAAATACTCTGAGAGCAGCAGCAGCTGTCAGGGATGCTTAGTAGAGAGCTGCAGCAGAGTACTGGGTTTTGGCCTCAGGTAGCTCATGCTGATCATTCCATGAATTCAAGATCTATAAACACAAAGCAGTTCTGAAATATGCCCTGAAAGGAGACAGATGAAGAAAACACCAAGATTTCATCACCTTCACCT